GAATTGGAGACGTTTTATCTTGGTAACTGCAGACAGCAAAGGTGTTCGAACAGGCCTTCGGCTTCCATATCCCATACGATGCAATGTACAGCTAATTTGCCTACAAATGTCAGGTGGTCATAATAATCTGGCCACTCAGTGTGTGTGTGTGTGTGTGTGTGTGTCAGCTAAAGGTCTATCAATTATTTACTTATTTTCTTTAAAGTAAAACACACATTCAACATTCACTTACTGTTAATACATAGCCTGCACAGCGCTAATCACTGACTTATATAAAGAGGCAAAGTCAGGTAGAAAAGAAGAGTCATAAACTTACAATTAAAACATGTCATAATAATTCCCAAAATTAGCTGCATATCAGCATCACCCAAGTTAAAGGTACAGACTGCTCAGCCAAAGCCCCGTCCCTCCCCTACTTGGGCAGACTCTCCTGGGAGGGGTCCCGCCATCTACATTATGTCGAAGCGGGATGCTGACTAGCTAGCCCATCCATTGGCATCTGAGAGCCATCCCTTGAGCTCCTCTGTGCTGGCAGTACTCCACACATCTAAGTGGGCATAACTTTCACCCTCGAGTCATCTGTATTAGAAACTACACATTTATATCGTGATGTAAGTATTCTTAAAAGATTCTGAAATCACGCCTCAATTTGCTTCAAAAAGCACCCAAGTCAACTTTGAACTTTGGTCATTGAGTGAGTTCTGGGGCTTTATTTAAAAAGAGATTTTACGTATGAGGCCACAAAAAGGTGTCTCCACTCCTCTGCATAAAATGTCTTTCTTGCCAAAGGACAGTGTTCTCATCAGGGTTTCTGCCCAGTAATTTAAGCCCAGAAAGCCATGAGTTCAGATGTGTTACAGATAAGCACCACATGGATGCTTAGCAACTAGGGAAAACTGACAGGAACTTAGGAAACGTTGCAGGTAATTCAAAGGAGGCCAAAGAAAAAACCAGGATCAAGCCGGTTGTGTAGAAATAGGGAAAACTGAGAAGAGAGAGGGATGGCAATAAAATAATATACATTTACAGCTATGAGTTGTAAGGAGATATTCTAGCCAGCTGTCTAAAGTTAGGTGGGCTGGCTTATGAACAACAATGCTAAATTGTTATCAGGGAATTTTAGATGCACATACAAATTTTAGCAATCATCTTGCCTCCTCTGAGAAAACTAAAAGTGAGAGAAGCTGAGAGAAGAAGGTAAAGGATTTGTCTAAGGTCCTGCGTTAAGAGAGCTACCGAGTCGCCTGATACCTGTCTACGTGGTACCTTTTCCCACTCTATTCCCTTGCTTTTTGAAATACACCCTGTTTTCAGGAATGCTCTCTTTCAACGATATTACCTTTTTTAAATTGATGCCAATAATTAAAGTACTACTGCAATAGGGGAAAACTGGCAGGGAATTTAGAGATCTATATGGAGGGTTAGAACTCTATTAAAAAATACTAGGAATAGAAAACCTCCATCAAATTCCTAGAGACACGCAACACCCTAATGTGATCATGGGCACGAGGGAATAAAGCTCCATGATGCTGTTGCCTTGAGGAGAAAATCTTTGAAGAAGTAGCTACCCAAGACTGTGTCCCCATCCCCAGTGGGAAAGCTTATTTGTCTCCACCTATGAGCTTATTTTGTGACTCTCCCCCATCCCAAACACCAACTCCACTACTGTCCTTCAGCAAGAATTGGTTCAATAGCAATCTGTCTTGCTAAGCATTAATTCCATTTTATAGATTTAAAAAATGGAGACAACAAAGGGGAAGTAGTCCTGGTCAGGTGGCTCAGTTGGTTGGAGTGCCATCCCTTACACCAAAAGGTTGTGGGTTCAATCTCTAGTCAGGGCACATACAGGAGACAACCAATTAATATTTTTCTCTCACATTGCTGTTTCTCTCTCTCCTCTCCTCTCCTCTCTCCCCTCCTCTCCCTCTCTCTAAAAACATGTCCTTGGGTGAGGATTTTTTTTTAAAAAGGGGGGGGGCACTTTGCCCAGCTCATAGGTAAAAGAGCTTGAATTCAAACCCAAGGCTGTATGGCTCCCAAAAGAGAATGGGCTACCTCAGGAATCTTAGGAGACAGAACATTCCTGATCACTGGAGGTTCAAGAGGCAAGATGTTATCCAGCACGACTGAAAGGCAGTGGGATCCACCCATCAAATGTGTTGTTAGACCAGGTGGGCTGAGGCTCTTGCCTCTACCAAAAGGATGCTGGGTATGTTTCAGAGACTGGGGGTAGGTAATAAATGAAGCTATTTTCACCTGTTCTTGTTCATCTTATTTAATTCTAACTCCAAGCTCTTCACCAGGACCCCAGGTCCATGGTGCATCCTTTAGACAATGTTTTCTTCTGTCTACATTGAACATGCTTTATGATATCCAAGCAGTAAACTTGGCCTGTGATTTTACTCCTCCTTCCCACATAACTTGGCACTGATGGCTTGCCCATCTCCACTGGAGTTTTGGTACTGATACATCTCCTCTATGTACATTAACTAACTCCTGGCTGTTGTCAAACACTTAATGTTGATCCTAACCTAATTCCCAGCCCCATCCTCTCTAGTCTCTCTCTGTCTTTCTAAGGTCCTAGCCCCTTAACGTTTTAGGCAATGAAGAGTGAAATCTCACTGTTTTTGGTAAACTCTTGGCTTGCTTGTATTAAATGAATTAAGTTTCAGTTGAAAGAAAATAAAAAATATTTTAAAACCTGCAAAAGAAATTGATCTGATCATTAAAGACTCTTTACAATAAAACATGTTCCATTCCATAGATTTGCACACAGGATGAACCCTCCCTCCTAATCTTGAAGTCCACAATTTCTTAGAAATACATAGTAAAATAATACCTATAGTTCATTTATCAAGGCTAAGCATATCCAATTATTTAGAAAAATATACAGTACCTCTTGATTATTGTCATGATATTTTCTTCTAATCTTAAAGAGAAAATTAAGAAAAGTTAAATATTCAGAACATATTCTAGTTTCTCATAAAAGCACAAAGAATCGTGACATACATTATTTGCTAATTCAAATCATAAAGTAGAGAAACAGCAATGAGGAACAAATAAATAACGTATGCTAAAATTAATGTCATACAGCCTTGTGTGCACATTAGATATATGAATAGCTCTTTAAAACTCATGAGACAACTGTGCAGTGCCCAGTAAATCAGCACTCTTTACCACAACCCGCACTTAAAAGTTTACTTAAGCAAGAAGCTATCTACAAGGTTGCAGTCACACCTATTATCAACAGGACCTCATTCACTTCACAATTACTGTTAACCTTACTTCATTTAATTGTACAATAGGCAGTTACTCTTCCTCTAATGACTAGACTGATTATCTTGTGTGTTCTACATATAAGAATTTACTTGTATGTTCTACAAAAAAAAACCCCGTAAACTGACGGACACATTAACTTCCATTTTCACACTGATCACCACTGAAATTAATTAAAAATGAAACATACCAATACCCCTGGAGCATAACCACAGACAGAGGCTAAATTATGGCTCTCATCATTGGAGTGGTAACTTCAACAAATGATTCCAAGACCAGAGACCTGGTTCCCTGCTACTCAGTAATATGTAGGTGGAGATAAGCAGGCTGAAATTTAAATTTCATATTTTTCACAAAACACAAAATACATCTTTAGAGAAAATAAACATCACGTGATTTTGCTTACTTTTTTGAACTGTCTTTGTTGGATTAGATACCATGTTGACAGCTTCAGATGGGAGACCAACATACACTCCTCCATAGTTTCTTCAAGAAACAGATATAGAAAAATCAGACCAATTTCGATGGAACTTTATATTTGAAGAAAGCAATAGAAGCATGGAGTAATTCAAACAATTAAAGAATTATTAAAATAACTCATGTTTTTTCAAAAGTAGAATTCAGACTGTTATTGCCTTTGGAAATGTAATTTATTTTCTATTAAAAGAAGCTACATATATAAAGGAAGCTGTATTAAGTTAGTAGAAATTTTAGGTATTTTATTTACAATAGGAAAGAAGAAAAGAGATATAGAAATAAATATCGGTGGAGTGACGTAATATTTATCAAGAATTATCAGGGGCCAAAGTGATATTCAATGATATAGATATACAAAAACATTTCAGCTATAGGTAGACATAAATATAAAATTCCGAGACAGAGAGCTAAGGACTAATGAGAGCAGGGAGAGTTAACCAGAGGAGGAATGGGGGGACAGAGAAGGCTGAAAGAATAAAGGGAGGTCACCCAGTTAGGAAGAATAGCACACGCAATGGCCACAGGGTGAAAACTACTACAGGCCGCGTGCATAGGACAAAAACCAAACTTGCTTGAAAGAGGCAAAGATAATGAACCCTGGGCAAGTTCTTTTCCAGATCACATACTCCATGCCAAAAGTTGTCTTGGTGGAATCTCTACTCTATTGGTAGTGTGCAACAGTGTTAAATTAAATTTGTGAGTCAAATTAAAGCACGTTAAATTACATCCATGAGATGTGGCCAAAATTATTCAAATTAAAGCCAGCTTCACTATCAAACATACCGCCTCTTGTCATCTTCTGTTAACGAGTCTTCTGTTCTGAAAGATCAAAAACATATTTATGAGCCATTTGGTTATGTAGTCAAAGACTTCATTTTTGGTTATGAGAAAAGGAACTCTGAGTTAAAGTCTATTTGATTTCAAGATCGTCCATCAAGTATCTCTGTTACACAGTGTTCTGGCTCCACCTCAATCATTCATACACTAAAAAAATTGGTGATTTTCTACTTAACAAACTATGCAAACCCAACAAATGCCAGAAAGCTCAACTGCAAACAAAATTAAATGCTGAGGGCAGCCAACATGGGGAAGAGCACAGAAATGAGGCGTCAGGAAGCCCTGGTTCTTCTCTCAGCTGTGCCACTCGCCCCCTGTGTGACTGACAGGCTGTGGGCAAGTGGCCCACCTGTATCTCATTTGTAAAATAAAGGGGTCGACCAGATGGCTCCGAAGGTCCCTTCCAGGGTCCTAATACACTATGGCTTTGTATTTCTCATGCCAGTTCAGTGGAGCAACTCCAGGTATGAAGTATTTCTTTAGTGCAAAAAGAATTCATGTCAATTAGATCTTTTTTTATCTAAAAACAAAAAACAAAAAAAAACTCCCACCACTTCATACATGATCTACTGCAAAGAGAAGGAGGAAATGTTTAACGGGAAGTCTGTAGAAGGAATCACTACTGTAAAATGCACAGCCCCTTTCCTGGTATAAGGGGAACCCATATTCTGCTAAAATTCCTTGGCATATTTCTAAGAGGATCAGGAAGCTTTCCTTGAAGCACTAGTTAGCATACATACGTTACTTTTCTGAAAGAAAATGAAAACTCAATGAGATCCAAATACATCTGGCTGAACTCAACATACAATTCTTAGGGGCTTCAGTCAAGAAGAAAAGCAGCCCAGATGGCATGGCTCAGTGGTTGAGTGTTGACTTATAAAACAGGATCACCATTCAATTCCAGGTCAGGGCATATGCCTGGATTGCGGGCGGGCTTCAGTCACGAAGAAAAGCAGCCCAGATGGCATGGTTGAGTGGTTGAGTTGAGTGTTGACTTATAAACCAGGATCACGATTCAATTCCAGGTCAGGGCATATGCCTGGATTGCGGGCTCAATCCCCGGTGCGGGTTGTACAGGAGGCAGCCGATCAATGATTCTCTCTCATCATTGATGTTTCTATCGCTCTCTCCTCCATTCTTCTCTGAAATCAATAAAAATATGTTAAAAATAATAATAATAAAATTGAACAGAAGAAAAGCAAAATGAAAACATCTAAACAGCTTCACTGAATCTTCTAATTCTAGGGACTATCTAGGGACTAATTGTGGGTTCACCCACTTCAAAGCAGTAAATATTCCAAATGTATATGTACATGAGATTTTACTTCATTGCAACAGCCAGTAAGCCCCAAATCTATAAAGGACGGGCTTATAAAGGTGGCAATTATCTCTTGCGCACTGGCCATGCCCACAGCTGATACTCCAATTGAGGTCAAGATCCCCTGGAGGTCTCATTGATCCAACTGAGCACATAACCTGCACTGGCCAGATAATTACCAACTTCATTTCTCTCTTGCTCAAGTTGGGTCATTTTTTAATTCAAAGGTGTCAAAGTCATACTGTATTAAAAATGGTGTTATGCTCATCGAAGTGGTATAACAAAGTGTTGTTTACTCCTTGTAATTAAAATGGATTTATAACTTGTTAGTATAGGTAATAGGAAAATGATGGTGACAACTCGTTCAAGATTATTAGAAAGGTTTACTTGGTCCTGAGTGACAAAGGTTATCATGAAATTATTTTTGAAGCTATATGTAACTGATAGATTTGGACATATTTTCTGCCATAGCTAACCTTTTCACATCCAGTTATATATCTGTTTATTCTAATTATTTTCCTTCTTAGTTCTGCTTAAGGATAGAGTCAAAGTTTTAAAATATATTTTAACTTCCCCAAATATAACAAAACCACAAATAATTTTAATCTATTATATATTATTCAATATCCTAAAACCTAGTCTGTATTCATATGTGTCAGTAGTTTGTAATGGCATTCAAATAAAAATTGTATTCATTCTAAAAAAAAACAATCAACAACCTTACATATCTAACTGGCAGGAAATGATCATGTAGCTACCACATTTATTGGATAATAAATTAAGCTTCAGATATAATACAAAATGTGAAAAAAAACACCACTTATACTTATAAGATGTCTATTCTTTTAAACCTTCAAATAATTTATAATGCCTGCCTTTGTACATATGCCCCCATGTATAAGACTGCTGCTTCACCCATTCCTTCCACAAACTATTATCCTGCAATACGATGATTGGAGACAGAAGACTACATGGGCAAATATGGCATCATCAGTGAGTCCCTCTCATGTGTCAGGTACAGTGTGGGGCACTTCACACCATCAGTGCTATTCCTCACAACAACTCGGAGAGTTCAGACCTGAGGAAATAGGTTCAGAGAACCATGTCGTTAATACACGTGCGAGACCCTCAAGCAAGACCAACACTGACCTCATGCCCCTGGCACCAAAGCCACACTCTGCATTCTAATCCACCACTCTGCCTCTCAAATAGGAAGATGTAAAGGTCAGTAACACTTCCAGTGACAAACCAACAAGGTGGCTTCCCCTAAAGTGGGCTCCCCCACCACACACACACACACTCTATCAAAAGCCTTGAGCATCACCACTGGCTCACAGCCTGCTGTGTGACTGTCCCTGTTAGTGCTACATTATTTCCTTTAATCCTCACTACTACCCTGCAAGACCGGTGTTGGCCACATTTTAAAGATGGAAAACTGAGCTCTGAATGGTTCAGTAACATACCCAGGGTTACACACCCACATAATAGAGTCAGAATGCAAACACAGGCTAGTGTGATTCCAACTCCTGCTCCATAAACCGTGAGCCCATGCTAATTCAAACCAGAGAAGCACCCCATCTCCCGAGCTGGATCTTCCCAATTTGTACCATCCCACTTAGGAAAGAGGAACCAAGATGGTAGAAGAGTCTTAGTTAACGTTTCATTAGCATTAGGAGAAACCTCTAGCAGCTGCCGTAGTCAATCCATCTTCGTAGAACTTGACCAATTGCCGCGGAACTCGTTTTTATCCAAGTGCCAAAGTTGTCCTGATCAGATGTTACATTAGAATTTATTCGCCTGAAAAATCAGATCCAGACTGAGATTCAGTCAGAAATGATGCTTGGTCCAAAGTAAACGAAATCTACCCTCGCCGGTCTGGCTCGGTGAATAGAGTGTAGGCCTGTGGACTGAAGGGTCCTGGGTTTGACTCCTGTTGAGGGCACATCATCATTGATATTTCTGTCACTCTCTCCCTCTCCTTTCCTCTCTGAAATCAATCAAAGTATATTTAATAAAGTAAGTAAGTAAACTAAATCCCCTCTGAACAGATAGGTCCAAGCCACTGTGTTTCACTGCCTGAGGACCAAATGCTGCCCTGCTCACGTCCAAGAGGACAGCACACTACCAGCTGGGATGACGTGGTCTGGCCCCAACTCCACAGGCTGTGGCCTCAGGAAGAAGAATTTGAAGCAACAAAGCTTCCTGGTTAAAGGAAGGCCCGGAGCTGTTGAGCCAAAGGCCCCGAAAAACCAGTGGAATTGCCACCAGGTTCCTACTGCTGCAGGCGAGAGCTACAAAATCCTCCTTCTGGTGTGGGGGACTCACTTTTCTAAAAGAGCGTGGGGTTATTTTAGATTTTAAACTATTTTCTTTTTCTGGAGTACACAGCCTCCATTTTCACTAGATTATAATATTTTTTGCCTTTCATTTTTTAAATATTTTTTTAGTTTTTCAATCACAGTTGGCATACAATGTTCTATCAGTTTCAGGTATACAACCCCGTGATTAGACATTTATATAATTTACAAAGTGATCACTCCAATCTATCTGTACCCATCTGACACCATACACAGTTACTGCACTGTTACTGACTATATCCCCTCTGCTGTACTTTACATCCTCCTGACTGCTTTGTAACTACCAATCTGTACTTCTCAATCCCTTCATCTGACAGGTTCTTTCTTGCTGATATGGGAAGTGGATATTATCTTGAGGCAGTTCAAAACGGGGGTTAAGTTAATCTGACCACTAAACAACTGAGCAAGAAACGTAAGTCTTTGGGATTCTAATCCTTGGGAGAGTCTCAGGTTTGGAATGATGCCCTGGCTGTCCGGACACCATTTTAAGATATCATTGCGCTCGTTTGCTCTCGCAAAATACATTTTGAAAGGTTTTGTTATCAACCGGCCTTCACAACGAATTCACTGATATTTTCTTAGACATTCAGATGCCAAAGGGAGCTTGTGATGAGCCTGGGATCTCCCAGGTTCCCACTGGGAGCTGATGTAATGGGATCTGGTGAGCCTGTGCGGCCTCACTGTGGGCACAGACAGGTTTCCATTCAGTTTCTGAGGGAATGAAATTAGTCCATCGTGGTCCTTCTTCGGCCTCACAAACCCAGAACGTCCAGGCGAGGACCCTGCTCAGGCCAGCTCTGGGATGAGCCCGTCTGCTTCACTGAGAACTTGATTATTTTTCTTTCCTGGTCACTACAGCTTACGTGGGAGAAGGGTGGCTACTGGGTGGCCTGCAGCTGTGATGGCTGATGGTTTATAAAATCTGTCCCCCAAACCGTGACGGGGGAAGGAGGGAGGACAGAACACAAAGCCACACCTCCCGGCTCTAGGAGGACAGTGGCATGGACAATCTAGAAAGTCCTCAGAAACAGGCCTCATTACTCTACTTTCTGCCGGTGCTGGAGCCGATCAGGAAAAGCAGCAAACGAGATGACCTCACCCGTGAATCTTCCCTTCGAGAGGCGAGCCCGGAGATTAGATTATTCCACGCTGGAACAGATCAAGTGAAAACGAGGCCAGCTCACAGCAGATGAACTGGAAAAGAGACCAAATGCTCTGCTGTTCTTGATGACACTACTCAGGGGTTACTGGTCCAAGTACCGCTGTGACTCAGCCGGCCCATAATCTTGCTCCCTCAGAAAAGGAGC